GCTGATTCGTGGCGACACTTCGGCAAGAGCTAATCCTAAGATAAGCTAAACACTGGTTTTCACTATAGGAAAGCTTGGGGTCACTATGGACCGGACGCTTGGGAGATCGCCTGTCTGACCCACCTTCATCACCCAGATTCCTCGACCGGCTGCAGTTGATCGGGACGGTACAAGTTCCCGGGTAATTCCCGGGAACTGCGGGTGCCGTTTCCCGGGGAACTAGGCCTCCCCCGGAGCGGATACTCGGGGACCCGACGGCCCGTGTCGAGCTCTCTCGGAAAATCGATACAGGCTGACGTCCCTCCGGGATGAACTTTCAAGGACCCGAGACCTCTTGACCGGCTTTCTCAGGGAAAGGTGTAGGCACGTCTTCTCGGGGAGCAGCATCCAATTCATCGGGGAGAACTACGAGGCGCTATGCCACAACCGCCCCATGCTGGTGCCCCATACGTCGTGTCAGACTTGCCCAGACGTCTGGGTTACAGCATACTCGCCTTCTTTGTGGTCCTCGGGGACCGTCCTTGCTAGAGTGGTTGGGGACCGCCGCCTTTTCCGCGGTCTTGCTCGCTCTTCCGGGGATCGGAACTCTCTCCGGTTTCTGCGTCTTTTCAGAGAAAAGGTCTCTCGGGGGCTGACATCGTACTACTTCCTTTTTCCGGGAATCGCTCCCGGGTCGTTCCCCATCACACCTGACAATGTTCGAAAATCACCACAGGGGGACCATCCTTGCATGGCGTGTCTATCGCCTGGTCCCAGCCGCAACTGCACTTTCTCGGTGTGAGTTTCGATGGAAATCTTGTTTGTCATTTCGAAGTTGGCGCGCAACCGCCCACCCAGTTCTTCACAAGTCGCGAACGATGACGGATCCTTCATCTCCCGGCACGGCCGAGGCGCCTCCGCCGTCTGTTCCAGCTCATGCACCAGTGGTTTTTCCTTCCGGTTCTACCGGCGACGCCGTACAAGGGAGTTTGGACCATGCTCGCGCATTGGTCGCCCTCGGAAACCCTCCTCTGGCTGTTTTGAACGCTGAGGATTGGGCGTTGCGCGAGGCTCTCCTGGTGCCTACTTACTCCCTCACAAGGGATATTCGCGGATCGTTCATTGACGTAGTTCGGCCGGAACGCACGGCCCCGGAATTGGCCGGTTCGCTGGGTTTCCGCGACACTGGGGTCTCTCTCCCCCTGGGCGGCACGGCTACTCCCGATCTGGCGGCGCTCGCAGGTCCTGCGCAGCTCCCTCCGTCATTTGTCTACTTGCCTGTGGCCACTGAAGATATCCGAGCCCTCGCGGCTGGCAGCCCCTCAGGCCTTCGATTTCGAGACGTGGTAGGGTTGATTCACGTGGATGTTCGCGTCCCCGAGCTTACAGTGACCTCCTACCAAGGAATTTTTCGACGTGTCCAAGCGATCCTCCAGTCGTAATTGCAACGAGGAAACGCCCTGGTTTCTCGTCTGGAGCTGACTGAAGCACGGTACCTGGACGCGGAGCGCGCGCTCACCGAGGCACGGAGCGAGGCGGCTAGAGCGTCGACCGCCCGGGACGCCGCAGAGAAGGCATTGAAGACGGAGTGCGGGAAAAACAAGACCCTCCAAGCGATCCGAACCGAGGCGTCCCAGGAGGTGATGTCTGCGAAGACCAAACTCGAAGAGGTTCAAGCTCAGCTCGCTTCCCGCCCCGCCGCACCTCCCGGGGGTTATGTCTCTAAGACATATCACGACACTAAGATTCGTCGGCTGTCGAAGCGGATTCGAAAACTCCGTGTCTCCAACCAGGACTTGCGCACTGAGCGTCGGCGTTTCAGGACCTTGCTCGACCCAAGCAACCTCTTTCGCTTCTTCAACAATCAAGGAAGTCCGGGGATCATGACAGGGGCGTCGGAGTTCCAGGAACAACTGACGGCGTATTGCCGCTCCGAAAAGCCACCTTACTTGGTGTTCTTAATCGTGAGCAGAAACAACGCTCCACCACCCCCTTTCAACCTAAGCAGTTAGAGAGTGACAGCGAAGGTTCCAACCCTGCTTCAGATGCAGAACCCGGCGCCGAAGGTGATGCCGGTAGGGGAAGTGAGTCCTTCCGTGGAAATCCTGCGGATCCTAAGCCCGCGTCCGCGCCTAGTACTCCCCACAAGAAAACGAGTACCGGTCACTCAGACCAAGCTAAGAAAACCATGGTGCCTGGGGGAGACTATCTCCCGGCGTCGGGTTCCAAGGGGACTGAGTCTACGCCTCTGCTACGTTCCCAGGGCAACTCTCTCTTACGACCCGTTCCAGGTGCGTCTGAAGCTAACCTGTTGGGTCACTTATTCGAAACTGATTACGACATGGGAGCGGGCGGCATTGAAGAGGAGCGGCAGACCCCCGTGGAGGAGAAACAAGAGGAGGACCATCCCATGGGTGAGGAGCCTGGGGCGTAAGACTCCCTGAGTCCGAGGATGTCGAACTCATAGGTGTCTCGGGGTCGGACCCCCGGATGTCTGCGGACGGACTGCGCCAGGTCAGACCTGCGGTCTACGACCCCCAAACTGACCCGAAAAGGTTTTTTAAAGGCCCATAGATCCCGACGCAGACCCGGTTCGGCCTGTGGAGGAATTGGCCCAAGTCTTGACCCGTTCCAAGGTCGAGGATGTGCGTATGGATGTGTTGGAGTATTGGCAGATGGATACAGACCCTTGTACCTTGACTGAAGCGGAGGACGCCATCCAGGGTCGCACCACCGAGGACATCGTTATTCACGTCAGTCTCCGGAAACATATACTCGTGGAATTCCTGCGTCGGGCGCTAATTCTCTCCTTCCTGGATGAAGTACCTTGGTTCCAGCACGTGCCCGAGGAATTCTTTAACCGGGCTTTGGCTGAGGCTGAGGACGACGACTGGGAGCTGGGAGTAGCCGAGGGCGTGAATCCTTGGCCCTCCGTGCCACTCCAGCCCCGGGATAGCCCCAGCCCTTCAGAAGAGGAGGAAGAGGCTTCCGGCAACGAGCGAGATGGCAATGGCCCCGACGATGAGACTTCGCTCGGCAAGCGCTCCCGGCCCAAGTCGAAGACCCCCGTGGGGAAACGCCCCAAGCGAGTTGCTCCTCCGACTCCCTCTCCCGGCAAGTCAGGTTCCTCGCGCACTCTCCAGGAGAATACTGCGCCAGTACTTTCTGACGTTTCCTCTGACGACGAAAACGCTCCTCCTCGCCGGGTCAAGACCTTACCGTGGACCCCGGAGATGGGTTATGAGGGGTATCATACGGATACCCGACTGGCAATGTCCTGGGACAGTACGCGCGTGCGCCGGACCAGCACTCGCCTCAAGCACCAAAACCGGGGTTTTCCGGACTACGAGGTCATGAATGACGAAGTTCATTCCGTGGCGGAACGTGTCCCAGTCGCAGAGTATCGGGACATCGTCAAGACTCAGGCTCCCTGGGACGACATGTTCGATGAGCGCGTCAGGGTCCTGTTGTTTATCCGGGATACGTTGTCGCAGGAGTTCACGGACATTGCCAAGCGCTATATCCTGTTCATGTGGATCTGTCGCCGGGAGGAGTGGGAGCGTACCCACTGGATCGTGCTGAACCGAAATGTCGAGGCACACGCTCTTCTTCACCAAGGCCGCGCCGGGCGCCAACGGAAGTATGAGAGAGCCCTCAAAGACGTCCGAGCGGACGTGGCCACGCTTCCTCCTCCCGAGCGTAAACGATTCCGGACAGAGGCAGCGTTTTGGCGTCACTCCCTGAAGCCATGCGTGGATTCCCATGGCCCAAGGGCGAACAAGACTCTGCGTACTTGCTGGACCAGCGCGAGCCAGCTCGCCTGTAGTGGGGGTCATCTTGCCCGGAGGAACGCGTCGCAGACAGTGTGCCCTTGGCCGTCTGGGGCACCCGCGTGACTGTTCACACTAATCGCCTACCTGTTCCCGAGCCGGAGGAGTATGTTATGCCTCGCGGTCGTCGTTAATTCCCGGGAGCCAACTTAGCCTGGGTCTTCTCCGACTCCAGAGTCATCATATGCTTTTTCAATATATCTTTGCGTTTGTCTCGTTGACTCTAAGCCTTCTTGTCTTCTTCCTTCGGTAACATGTATATGTCATGTTAACATGTAGTCACTTGTGTCCCAGAGCGTATTCTCGTACAAGGCTTCTGGGGGACACTCCAGAGCCTGCTGTGGTAGCTAACTCCGGGTCCACGCCCCAAGGGACATGCATTTCACTCATGTCCTGGGGAGTATTCTCACCCAGGAACATGAGGCTGCTGGGGGACCCTCCGGAGCCTACTTTGGTAGACTCTGGGTCCACGCCCCAGGGCTCTACCGGACCTCTTCGTCCGGGAGCTCGTCTCCAGACTGCATGGCCTGGAAACGCCCGCGAACTCGTTCTCCTTGGTCGAACTCATAGAGGAGCCTCCCGCAATTGAGGTGTCCCCGAGGGACCCAGTCCGGCACTTCGTACCCTTTCCATTTCACTTGATATCCTTTGACACGCCGGCTGGTGCGGGTCCGGGTGTCCCAACGCACATCAAGTATTGCTTACACTTCGAACTCTACGGAACTCTCATCGGGCTCCCTACTATCTTCACGGAGCAGTGCAGCGTCGAAATCGTCGTTCTCCGGGATATCCATTGGCTCCGAGGGCCGATCTGGGTATTTCGCTCGGGGCTTCAACCGGCTGACATGGACCCAGGGGTAATACCGGTATTCGGTCCCCTTGACTTGGAGACGATACCGGCAGTCGCTACCTTTTCCAGGATTCGGAACGGGCCGTGCCAGAGATGAGCCAGCTTCTTGGGGAGGCCGGGCCGGACTCAGGCTAGGTAGAGCCAGACTGAGTCCCCGACTTCGAAGCCTTCCTTGGGCCGGTCCGTGAGCTGTTTCCATTTCCGGTTATGGTCCTCAGCTCGGCGTCTTTTTGCCTTCACTTGGAGGTCCCGGGACCAGGCTCGGGCATACTCGACTTGGCGTTGGATCTCAGTGCGCCATCCCTGGGCGTCTCGGAGTTGGACGTCCCGGGGAAAGTCCCCATCATGGCTCCGACGGTGCTCTGGGCGTCCCAACCGTGCGCTAAGTAGAATAGCGTATCGAGTCGGGTGAAGTCGAAGGAGGTGTTCAGCGCCCACATGAGTTTTTCGGCTAACTCGTCCCAGTCGCTCTGGCCTACCGTCTGGACGTATGCCTTGACACTTCGGATCACTGTCTGCACTGACCTCTCCTGTTGCCCGTTCGCCTGGGGGCGGTAGGCCAGGGTCGCGCACTGCCTGCTCCCGGGCATCTCCCGGAAGTGCTTGAAAACCCGACCCATTAATCGTGGGTCTCGGTCGTGGCGGATCATTTCGCTGGCCCTGAACCTCCGGAACACGCATTCTTCGTAAGCTTCGGCCACATCCTGGGCCTCAGTGCTCGCCATGGCTTTGCACATGATGAATCCCGAGAACGGGCACTGGTACAAGAGTAGTGCTGTGTTCCCTCGGGCTGACTGAGGCAAAGGTACGACGAAGTCCATCGAGACGACTTGGAACGGCCGCGTAGCCAGCAAGTTGCCGGGTGATGAGCCTGGGTTCCGGGGTAATCCCTTAGCCGTGACACAATCCACACACTCTTTGACATATCGCTCCGTGTCCTTGAACATCCCAATCCAGTAGAATTATTTGCGTAGTCTCTCATAGGTCCGGATGATACCCTGGTGAGCGCCTTGGAAGTCTGCGTGACAATGGTGCAGAATATCCTCTTGAAGGTCTTGGGGACCCACCAGGCGGAGCCGGTCGGCAGCGTCCCGGGGGCGCTCTGGAGTGTTTCGACTCACATAGAACAACGCGTCCCGGGAGTCTTGTACAAACTGGTCTGCTATCTTGGCCAGGTGTGTTGTCTGCCTCAGGGACAGCCGTTCTGTCTCCCCCTGGAGGAAATTCACCAAGGGCGCTAGTCCTGGGTCGTGCACCTGGTGGGAGCAAATCCTTCTCCATCGTTCCTTACGGACGTCCTCGGGATCTTCCTCGGAGTCTTGGGAGCCGGGGTTCTGAGGACTGGCTGCCAGCTCCTCGTTTTCGGTTCCCAGCTCGTCGGCTCCGGGGTCGACAGATTCTAAGTGGTCGGCTCCGGATTCTGTGGCCGGTTCTTCCGCGACATTACTCTTCCCGGACCTCGAGCGCGTCGTCACGAATGCTTCACCCACCGGGGAGCGCCTAGGTATGCTCCGGGCTGTGGCGATGAAAGCGCACTCTACCAGCGATTGTTCCCTTGGACTCGGGTCCTTCATCAGTTTTCGTGGATCCGGTTTAAGCCTCGGAGCAGCTTCCGCTCCCCGAGGTCGGTGACTTCCAATGATGACTGCTCTTGGATGACCCGCTTGGAAATGTAGTCGGCGGCGGCGTTGAAGTCTCTCTTTACGTGTACCAGGCGCAAGGATTTGAACTTAGCCTGGAGTCCTTCGGCTTCCTGGAGCAGCCTCAACAGGTGGGGTTGGGTATATCCGATAACCTCCTAGAGCTGCTGTATTGCTAACCGGGAGTCTCCGACTACTACCAATTCCAGAATCCCCGCGTTGAGAGCGAGTTGCATGCCTTTGCCTAGTCCGGAATATTCGGCTTCGTTCACGGTGGCCTTCTTTAGGAAATGTCCCGTGGCTGCCACGATCTCCCAACTCGGGAGGCTCCAGAGGATGCATGCGGCGCCCCCGGACCCATCTCTCTTGGCAGCTCCCAACTCGGGAGGTGTCCGATGTGGTCACTAGAGAGCATTTCCAGGCTGACCGGGGGTGTCTTGATCCGGGAACCCTTGTCCGGGACTAGGGTCTCGGTGACTTCGTCGAGGCATTCCCGGGGAGTGATGCCCGCTCCCAAGATCGCTGCCAGGCCGTCTTCGTCGTTCTCGACTCGTCGGATATCCAGGTCTCAGGGAGACAGGTTGACCGCCCACTTGAGGCATCTCCCATCTACCGTCTTGGACTTGAACAACCACGCCAGCACCGAGTACGGGGTATACACGCGAATCTTCTTCTCGGAACAGCTGGTAATCATAGTGTGGCATGTGTTCAGGACTTGGAGCAGCGCTAGCACTTCTTTCTCAGAGGGGTGGTATAGTTCGGCGTCTTGGAGCACCCGTCCTACGAACCGCACGGGTAGTATGGTGCCGTCGTGGTCTTGCCCCAGAACCGCACTGATTGCCCAGGGGGTTGGCGTGCAATATGATTACGTACTGCCTCCCGGGGTCAGGGTGCTGGAGTAGTGGTGTCGACACTAGTCGGTCCTTGAGTATCTTGAACGCGTGCATAGGTTTCTCCAAATCCCGTCCGGAACGGAGTTGCTCGTCTGATTGACACGATGTCGGTGAAAACTTTTCGTGTAGGAGATGTATAGCG